CAAGCACTCGACTGAATCTTCCGCATCTTGCGAGGACATGGACGAGTGGTTCCAACGGCCCGAACTCGCGGCCTAGCTCAGGACAACCACTGCCAAGTCGAGCGGCGACCGATCCGCTTACCGGACCGTATATGAGCAGGGCGGGAGCTACGCAGATTCCTGTAGCGATGCCATCTCCCGTTGCCCAGCATGCTCGATCAAATTCCCGCAGACTGACAAGAAGGTTTACTGGGCCAGATCCTGCAGAATTGCATCTGGCACAGATGGCACAGGAGGGAAGGCGGCGCAGACGACGGAGGCAGCGAAACCAAGAAGACAACAACGAGGGACACCCGAAAAGGTTCCTGCTTTGCCTGCCATGGGTGAAGTCGCGACGCATGCGATCGCAAATCCTTCGGTGCTTTATTTCAGGCACATTTCTCGCCCTGTTATTAGCCGTTTGTGAGTGATGCCTAGTGCTGCTGTCGGGAAAGCCTAACTGACCCCGTAGACCTTGCCCTGTCTCTCACACAGAACATCCGCAGTAGCGAGTTCACGGTACTTCTCATACTCATCATTCTCTTTACAACGATTTTTTTCTGCCACGGCTTGATTCGCTTATGCATGCTCGTCATTCGACCGCGATCGGACGACGAGGCTAGGCCGCCAATGCCGCAGCTTGTTGCTCCAGGAGGGTACGCTGTCCCACGGGAACCGATCAGAGTGGTGTTGGCCCGTGACGAAGAGGAGGAGAGCGAAATAAGCGATGCAGCCAAAGCGAAGCCGCCAGCCTACGGGCTCTGGAGAGAGAGTGTGGTACGTGCCAGCAGCATGGACGTTTCTAATTATTTTCAGCTAACAAGAGCATACAGCGGGTGGATCCCAATAGGATATACTGGCAACGCAATCCTAATGCGACATCAAATGGCAGCCCGTCGAACTCTAGGGAGGTTGGCAGCGGGCCACGACCACCATCGTATGCATCGGAAGACGGTGTCAGCTACGTTGTAGATGCTCGGCCCCGGTCAATGGCGCCAGGAATGACCGAAGTCCTCCCACCACACCCCTCTGAGGTTGGGCGGATGAATGAACGACGAGGCCCATGGTGATTCCATTTATGTGGTCAGAAAAGACATAAGAAACCTTGCGTGTGATATTATTGTACAATGAGAGCTCGGCTAGCGGCGTCAAGGGAGTTTCGGTAGAGGCACGTCTCGCCAGTGCGTGAAAACGCCACTGAACGGGAGGACCTGAAGCATGTCATCATAAGTGTCTTGCGGTCATTATATGCTGCTCAGGGAGACAGAGCGAGTCGACTGGGACTGCACTAGTAGTACTTCCGCATGGCATTTCAAGATAATCGAGCGAGGGGATGCAGCTCATTTCCAATACAAGCGGGTGTTTCACAAGCTGAAGGCGTCACGAGAGGGGCCATGAGGGAAGGTCACGCTTTGCATGGCTGGTTCCACAGCATTAGTTGGGCTGGCGGGTGTCCGGACTGTCGGAATGTGCACCATTGGCACAAAAGAGGCTCTCCCTGCTTTGTCGCGATAAAGCGTGTGAGTACAACAGAGCTACGGTCGAAGAAAGGCATGAGGAGCTACACCAACGATTCGTAGTTCTACTGCTAAAAGGTGTTCGTTCTCCGCTGTACGGGTAAATACAGCTCTGTGTGTATGCAAAAATAAGCAAGACGGCCACCAGTCCACTCTAGGTAGATAGATATCTATTAATTGCTAGCGTTGGATGTACAGGAATAGGCTGGCCTATTGGACACCCATTTTGCTCTCCAGCTGCCGCGTGCTTGGGAGCGGAGTGGAGCAGAAAATGATGAACATCCAATGGCGCGGGGAAAAGAGACGGGCAGGCAACCTGGGGGCCAGAAAAGAGAGACACCCGACGGTGCAGTGCCAGTCACACAGACATGCGTTTGGGTCAGGCACGCTGAACCACGGCACGCCATGCTACATGGATAAATACTTTCAACGGCTCAGGTTTTGTGCTGCGAGATGCGGGAATGAGTATCTGTCTGCGCTCAGGAATTGCGGCTAAGCGATGTGAGGTTTGCTGAGCCGAACATACAGCGGGAGCGTATGTCAAGTACCTTATGGAAGGTGCCTTGAGTATATATTACGTAAGGTAGGGACTAATACAGCTCGCTTAGAGGGGCGTCAGCGCGTGGGGTGTTTGGAGGACTTGGTGGGATGATGGATCGCGGCTGCAGTGTGTTGAAAGAAGAGTGACAACTGAGCTGGTAGTGAATTGTGAATATGTAAGTAATGTACATAGTAAAGAGGTAAGGTATCCGTAAGGTAGGTTGAAGACCGAGGCCGGGCGTGAGCGGGAAGCAGAAAGCGGGAGAGTCGGGGGTACCGTTGCGATACTTGGCCCCGCCGCCCCTGGCGCCATGTTTCCCCGCCTTCCCACCTTTTGACGTCGTCAACGACCCAGTTGATCCGTTCCTCGAAGGTCGCTTCCATGTATCCAGGGCACGACAAGCACTCAAGGGCCCCGGTACTGCCATTTACAGTAGAGAAACTGGGAGGAGGGCACTGAGACAGACACGCAGGAGGGTCAAAGTTCCAACACGACACGGCCACACACATGACATGGGGGACATGAGGCCGAGCGGGTATTCGTAGGAAAAAGTGATGACTTGCCTCAGTAATGTGCTGCTGCAGGTGCAAGAGGGGCAGATGCAGGTGAGGTGCAGGCGCAGGCGCAGACGCAGACCAGACACAGGTGCATGCCTTGCCTTCGCAGAACTTGGAAGAAGGGCAGGAGAGGGGAGAGGAGGAGAGCAGAGGCGAATAGAAGCCAGTGGGAGCTTGCTTCACAAGTCTTCAGGTCTCTGACGAGGAAGTTTTTCCTTGCCTCGAACCCCCTGCTACAAACGCTGCCATCCATCCCGATGGCTCAGGTAGCCAGCCAGCCCGGCCTATTCAGCTCTCACCCCAAACTGGACACATCCCGGCCCTGCCCTGGCCTCGCCTTTCCTTTCCGGTCGACATCCATGACCAGGCTTCCCCCTCCAACGCACGCTACTTCAGTCACTGACTGACTGATGGCGGGCGAGGCGATGGAGGGGTTGGTGGTGACTTTGGATGACTTTAGAACCGGGTGATGACTGCTCTTGGTGTTGGGGATTGTTGGACACCTTACCCGCGAGACGAGAAGGAAGAGAAACAGAAAGCTCGCGCTTCGCCCTCCCACCCCGCCCGTCATCCTCCGTGTTGTCCAGCTTGCCTACGGCGTAGGTAGTTGGTAATTAGGCAGGCACGTAGTAGGCAATTACCTAAGGTAGGTAAGTAAGGTACTGGCCGAGTGCGCTTGCTTATTCTCTGCAACATCTCACCCCTTCAGCAGGACTTGAGACAAATACCTTTTACCCTTAGTTTTATCTCGAGGCATCCGTAGCCACTTTAGGTCCCCCCCCTCACTCAGGTAGCCCCGTCCAAGTCCCCAGTCAGTCAGTCAGTCAGTCAGTCAGTCCTGCCCGGCAGTCCTGGGAGTCCCCAGTCCCTCGGCCTCCTACCCCGGAAGCAACATTCCGTCATCCGCCATCAAACCAGCGGGCAACCTACCTGCATCCATACTACCTGCCTTCGCTACTTACCTACTTACCTACCTAAGCAGTCCAGTCTGGTCTAGTCCCCCGTTGGGTCACAGCCGCAGTCACAGGTCAGGTCCAGCCAGCCCAGCCGTGTCCCGTCCTTTTTTCTTCGCTACTAGAAAGGACCAGACCCCTCTTTCCTCACACATTATTATTATTTTTTTTGCCCATTAAACAACAGCAACCTTCGTGGAAACGAACTGTTCCCGAATTTTCCCAAAGGCAATTTTTCGCGAAAAGGTGAGTTTCGCCCTCGATTGTACCTGCATCCATCGCATCAGCATTGCCCCCAGCACCTCTCTGTCCTTGTCTCTCTCTGTCTCTCTCTCTCTGCCTTTTCCCTCAATCTACCCCTCATCTTGCCTTCCCTGCCCAGCCAACCCAGCGTGCCGTCGCAAACGTCTCTTTCTGCCAACCCAATGCGACACGGTCGACGAGGGCCAGCCTGCCACAGCAGCATTCGCCATCAGCCTCACCAGAATGCGCCCACCCAACGCAACGGGAACGATCACGATAGTCCTGCCGCATCCCATCTCTCTGCCCCCCCACGAAGAAACTTGGGAGACTGCCACACTGAAGATGCGATCACTTCTTCCTTGGTCCCGCACGCATTGCGCATCTCGCTATGCGACCCGCGGAAATGCGCCAACCCCGCCTGTTGCTTTGCTCTCTGGCCCACCACTACCTTTAACGACCGCAATCCTCGTCTTCTTGCCAAGACACCCGTTCTGTCGGGTTCGCACGTCAAGCTGCGATCCCAACTTCACAGATCGCGATCTCTGGAGCCTACCTGATGCTACATTGATCCGATAGTCCACCGGACTCAATTGGCTATTCATATCGTTGCGCTGCGACTGTTGCGTTACTCCTGCGCGCCACCTCAGTCCCCCACACTCGATCTCGCCCCGATGCGCCTCCCCCCGAAAAGCCCTCGGTGGATCACTTGCGATAATCCCTCAATCGCAAGCCGGCAACAAACAGCGCCAGACCACGATGAGACCGAAGCCTGCGTCATTTGCGCCCTTGCGTTCGCAGGTTCACTCCCAACGGCATCCTTCGCATTGGCAAAGATCCCTCTCTTTGCGCGCTTCGACCACAAATCAAGTCCCGGGTGATTGGCATGGGTCTACTTGAGCAAATCTATAAAGAAAAATGGACGGACCGAGGCATCAGAAACTCGCGTGTCATCACTGCCCAAGATCTGAGCTCCCATCGCAACTGTGTACCCTATTGCCGGATATTCCGTCCGAAGAGGATTGCACATCAGGGACCTTGGAGACGAATACTTCCGCTGCAACACCATCCGACAAGCTGGATTTCCTCAATAAACCGCTACAACGAGCAAAAATCTAGCCAAGAGTAAATCGACTAACCTTCCTTCTCTGATAGCTTTACACCAGACTGCAAGATGTCTTCCCTCTCCCGTCGCGCGTGCTACAAGTGCGGCAATGTTGGCCACTACGCTGAGGTTTGCTCGTCAGCTGAACGTCTTTGCTACAACTGTGAGTTCTATCCCCAAAGATCGGTCAATATTGGAAGAATTTCTGACTCTCAATGTCAGGCAAGCAACCCGGCCATGAGTCCAACGGCTGCCCGCTGCCGCGCACCACCGAGGCCAAGCAGTGCTACCATTGCCAGGGCCTCGGTCACGTCCAGGCCGACTGCCCTACCCTGCGCTTGAGCGGCGCTGGCACCAGTGGCCGCTGCTATAACTGCGGCCAGCCCGGTCACCTCGCTGTAAGCAATCTTGCGTAATCGCCGTCGATGAGAAGCTGACGTTAAAATTAAAAAAGCGTGCCTGCCCCAACCCTGCCGGCGTCGGCATCGGACGTGGCGCCCCCGTTCCTCGTGGTGCTTTCGGCGGCTACGGACGTGGCGGTTTCGCTGGTGGTCCCCGCCCCGCCACCTGCTACAAGTGCGGAGGCCCTAACCACTTCGCGAGGGATTGCCAGGCTCAGGCCATGAAGTGCTACGCTTGTGGCAAGCTCGGCCACATCTCTCGTGACTGCACCGCGCCCAACGGCGGTCCTTTGAACACTGCTGGCAAGACTTGCTACCAGTGCGGCGAGGCTGGCCACATCTCGCGCGATTGCCCCCAGAAGAACGCGAATGGCGAGATTCCCAACGACGTTGACATGAATGCCGCCGCTGGCATCGCCGCGCCCGCTGTTGCACCCATCGCCCCCGTTGCTTAAGCAATGATCCGTGGCCGCGTCGTCCTCTCCATGAGGCGGTTCCGGACTGGGAAGAAGTTGGCTGCGTGAAAAGCAGCCGCTCCGCTAGTTCTACATACGCCAGCGCATCGTTGTTGGTTTCCTTATGTTTTCAGCACGACCCTTTACGCCTCTCGCACCTACCTACCATAACACCTGCACCTTGCCCATTTCATTCTGGTTATTACTTTTACTTCCTGCATAAAAACGGCTTGTCGCCAATCGACATCCTTTGCTTTACACGGCGTCTACTGGGATTCCCCTTCGTCAACACGATTCATTTTCTGGAACAAAACGGGAAAGGCTTCCTCTCTTCATACTACCCTTGGTTCTTGCAACGACTCTCACGACGGACGGTCTCAACGTATTTATATGCATCTTCATTCCTGCATTTGGAAAAGGAAAGTTCGTGACCTCATGGCTATCTACGGTTCCTTCTGGTTCGACTTAGCTCCCTGTTTACGCGCACCATTGCGTGATCCAGAATGGTTCATAGTCGGCGCGCAGCCCCAGATTGGATCTGAACTACGGCGGCGGCAAAATTATTCCACAGGACAATATGGTGTCAAGGCGGCTGGCGGCTGGGGAATTGAACACTGACAGGCGATGGGACGCTGCGGTCTGCACGGGCAGTTCAAAACTGTCTGTAGACCTTCGCTTACCGAGCAGGCCAGGCTAGGAGATTTCATTGGAATGAAAGATATGGCTGAGGGGGGGGGTGAGAGATCCGAGTCTTTTATGAAGAAGAAGAGTTTTGGGGCGGTGGAAGTGGTTGTTGAGTAGAAGACCCTTTCGAAGGGAGACATGGTGGACACCATGGCAAAGCTGTTGTGGCGTGACGCACAAAAAAAAAGAAGCAGTTGATTGAGTCGTTTGAGTGTCCTTGGAGGAGGAAAGATGATGTTGTGATGGGCGCCCCGAGATGATTTGCACCGGTCGATGGCATGGCTGGTAGGAAGCGCCACAATACGTTGGGCTTGTTAGATCGGATTGTGGTACGGCGATGCGCTAAATCAGCAACTGCGTCGGCATGGCGATGGCACACGATTGCGTACGGTGTGCCAAATCATCGGTCGCCTGCATGGGCGAGAAATCACGAGGAGATTGCAGGGAGTTATGCGGCAGAAGGGCATCGAGTCGCTAGGCCTCGAATGGGCTAGGCGTACTGCATGAGGTGATGTGATTCCACTAGAAGGACCCAAGCTTTTGCTTAAACGAATGGTTCGCGTTCTTCTCGCGTGCGTCTGAATCAGCCCAAATAGACCAGGGCTGATGAAGACCATACAATAGTGTAGGCCGTCTTGTCTCGCCCACCTACTCCGGCGTCGCTCAGTGTCCGTAAGGCGATCAACGGGACACTGGAAGCTTTGGCCAGCTCTCACCCGGGAGCGGGACGGAGTCGCAACGGCACGGCCTAAGTGGGTCTCTTGCTGAGAGCACCGGCCATACCCGCGGGCATACTGTAACTTGCAAGCATGGCCCTGGCAGGAAGATTTCACTTTACTCCCTCTTATGGCGGGAGCCCAGCCAATTTTGTGAGTGAGATGATCATGAACACTTAAATGACTTTGCAGGCGGCCGGCCAAACACCTGAAGCGGGATAGTTGAACGAGACAACTAAAGATTTTGGGGGCTAATGTGTGTAACGTCATGTAGGTAGGAAGTGAGTGCTCTCGCCTGCAGGACACATGAGGTGAACAAAAGCACTCTCTGCGTGCGTACACATGCGTCAATATACCAGATCAACACAGCAAACGGGATGGGGATCCTCTTCAATTCATTTGTCCGCTTGCTGCCTGCTTGCCTATTTACCTGTTCACCTGCCTGGCCAAGTCAGAAATGTAGGCGGATTCGTTGCGGTCCTAAGGGTGTCGTACCCGCCCAACTACAAGCGCCAGCCTAGTCAACTTGGTAGTCACACTCGTCCGAGTCTTCATGCGGCTGCTATGCATGTCAGAGTAGCGGTCGCGTCAGCAGGCGTGCCTTAGCGGTAATACAAAGCCGCCGTTGATCATCATGGGACTTCAGCCGCCGAATGAGCTAGTATAAATGGCGCCGCCCCCAACGCGACATATCCAGGACCGCAGCCGCAGCCACAGCGAATGCCACAGCAGAAGCCCAAGCCGGAGCCTTGATTTGTTCTGCCGTTCACTGTGACCATTATCGTATGAAATTGCTCCTTCTTTCTTTTTTCTTCACTTGGGTTCCTGCCTACTGCTCGGCAGACTTCTTTCGCTTCTATTTCATGCCTGCCATTTCTAGATACCTGTCACTGCACACCTGCCTTGTACAGGCGCACATGCAAGTGTCCAAAGTCCGCATGTGTCGGCAAGTGCATCGGCGGTAAAGACCACTGGCCCCTTCCCCATCAACGCGACTTCTGGGCAATATCAATCAACATGGATTACAGCTCCGATTCCAGCTCAGACTCAGTAATCGCATCTTGCGTCGGCCCGCCCGCCCTCGATCACCCGCGACGCCGAACATACTTAGCCAGGATGCCCGTCACCGTCAGCAAACCCCGAAAAGCGAAGCAACAGCCTCCCCAAGACATTATTGATGAGTTTTGGACGAAATTCACCACCAAGACCCCTGGTAAAGGTTCGTGGTGTTAACCCCATGTTCTCTCGTCCTTGTATGACCCCGGGTGTGTTGCTGCTGGTTCTAACTTTGAAAGCGACTACTGTCATCCCTCAGAACGAATACGCCGAGAAAGTCGCCCGACGATCGGCTGCAGCTACCGGAGTATGCACCCAGACATCATATGACGAGGCTGCGGCAGTCTGCAAAACCAAGGTTGACAAGATCGTCCAAGAGTGTCGGAGAGTAAATCAGAAGTACCGGGATCCTCATTTCGACCTCGAGTTCGATCTTAAGTTTGGCAGACGGGATTGCCTGGAGTCCCTCTGGAATACCAAGAACAAGGAGCCCTCCCCGTCATCGTTCGAACCGAAGGCTGTGAAGCGCGTTGTTGACATCTTCGACAGCCCTCAATTCTACATCGATGGCCCTACCGCTAACGACGTACGCCAAGGTAGAGATGGAGACTGCTGGCTAATGGCTGCGCTATGCAATCTTAGCAATAAATCTGGCCTGATCGAGAAAGTTTGTGTTGCCCATGACCAAGACGTCGGCGTCTATGGCTTTGTGTTCCATAGGGACGGTGAGTGGTTCAGCGAAATCATTGATGATAAGGTACGTAAGTCGACGAAAGAGTGTGAACGATTCCAGTGTCAGCGAGCAATGCCTACCGAGGGACTCCTTGCCCCGCTGTTATCGACCTTGGCTGACACCGCTCGCATTAGTTGTATCTCACAAAACCCGACTACGACGAAGGCTATCTTGAACGTATTCTCTGGGAGGATCGAGAACGTGTCAACTCAGAAGAGGCCTATCGACGGATCTACCAGTCAAACAGCGGGGCTCTTTACTTTGCTCAGTGCGAGAATCCAAACGAAACTTGGCTGCCACTTCTCGAGAAAGCCTATGCTAAAGCACACGGAGATTATGCCTGCATCGAAGGGGGTTTCACCGGCGAGGCTATTGAGGACCTTACCGGCGGTGTAACTTCAGAGATCTATACCACCGACATCCTAGACAAGGAGTACTTCTGGAAAGAGAAACTCCTCAGAGTCAACGAATCCTGGTTGCTTGGATGCTCTACTGGATTCGCTTCCAAAGGATGGGGCGAACGCAAGGGCATCATTGAAATGCATGCCTATAGCGTCATGAAAGCTGTCGAGATGGACAACCAACGACTTGTTCTACTCAAGAACCCTTGGGGAAAGGGGGAATGGAAGGGTGCTTGGAGTAAGTGCGGCCTATTTCCATGAGCATGTGCTCTTATATGTGCTAACATCATCAGGCGATGGCTCTTCACAGTGGACGCCTGAGTGGCTCCAGAAGCTCAATCACAAGTTTGGGGATGATGGAGCTTTCTGGATTTCGTACCAAGACCTGCTCAAGAAGTACAACATTTTCGACGTGACACGTTTGTTTGGACCCGAGTGGAAGGTAACGTCCATTTGGACGACGTTCTCAGTACCGTGGACCCTTGACTACCACGATACTCATTTCGCCTTTGAGCTTTCCAAGCCTAATTCTGTGGTTCTGGTTCTGGCAAATCTCGACGAACGATACTTCAAAGGCCTGGAAGGCCAGTATAGGTTTGACCTGCAATTCCGTCTGCACATAGCCGGCCAGGAGGACTATGTCGTACGGAGCCCAGCATCTTACCGCATGAATCGATCCGTCAACGTGGAGCTAGACCTCGAAGCCGGTAGTTACGAAGTTTACGTCAGAATTGACGCAGTACGGAATGACAGTATTTTGCCGATTGAGCAGGTCATCAGAAACAATGCCAAAAGTCGCCGCGAGAAGTTGACTCGCATTGGGCTGGCTTACGACCTTGCCCATAGCAAGGGGAGAGTTGTCGAGTCAGCTGAGCTAAAGGCAGCACGAGAAGCCTACGAGAACAAGCAGCGGGAGAAGAAGCGCGCCGAGATCAGGAGCAAAATCCAAGAAGAGCGCGAGCAGGAGCATTACCTGCGCGTCAAGGCCGCAAAGCGGGACAAGAAACAGATGGCGAAGCGGCACGCGAGGCATAAAGCCAGGGCAGAAAAGAGAAAGGCCACACAAGCAAAGACCCGATACGACACGAACGATCGCCCTGGACCCGAGAAATCAGCGCAGACCCCCGAGAAATTCAAATCTTCTCCCAAAAAGCACGTCCAGATTCAGGAACTGGAAGTTCAGACCAAAGACTTAAACATCTCTGAACGAGACAAACAAACTGCAAGCAGCGGTGCTAGCAATAAGCATGCAGCCTCACCGAAGACCTTGTCGGACTCTGGACCTGTCGGAGATGTTACGCGATCATTTGGGGAGACTCCGAGTGGGATCTTGGGGGGATCTTCGGACAATTGCGGTCTGGCTGGGCTGCATCCCGCGAAAGCTAGGGAAACTCCAATCGTGGACATCCG